GTCAGCTGAGTGCATAGACTGTGTGCACACGTGTGAAGTGAAAGGTAAATGTCAGTGAGTTTCCAAGAGTTCTAGTGCATGCAATCTGATAAAGTGGTTCAGGTGATGTCACAAAAAGCTTTCAAGGCGCATGCCCAGCTAGTTCATTCGGCAGAGCATGAGACTCTTAATCTCAGGGTTGTGGGTTAGAGCCACATGTTTGGCATAGCTGTTTTAAATCACAATATGCTGGAATAAAGTCTTGAGCAAGGGACCAGGAGCCTTATGTTTTTATAAAGATGTGTGTCATACTGTATGAATGTGCACTGCGCAAAAAAATATAGAGAGCATTGTTATTCCAAGTATACCACCAAGTAAGTTAAACTTCTGAGATATTGATCTGGTCAGTTAAGTAACATAGGAAGTTGTTAATGAGTTTCAGCTGCTGTTGTATTAATGATATTAACTAGAGGGACGACAATGAGACAACTCCCAAAACAGGAATGGTTTTACAGGTGGAGGCCACTGAAATCCTTCCATCCTCATCTTTTCTTATTTTTTTCAATAGTTTTGCATTTGGCCAGATAGCACCTGATACCTGGACCCTACAGAGGTTGGACAGGTAGAACAGTATCTGCTGCTTCGCGCAAGGGCGAACAGGATGGTTGGTGTGACCAAGCAATCAGAATCATGAGGGTAACCTGAGGGCCTGACATCCTCTGTGCTAGTCTTCTAGCCCTGTGCTCAGTGCTCATTGGCTTTAGGACAAATTCAGACATATAGTGGTTAACACATTTGTTTGGGAAGTGATAGTTTGCTGATTTAGTTCCAGCCTGAGACACAAATTCCCCTTGGGTTTGTGTCTAACGCCAGGAAAGACATCTGGCATTAAAATCTGCCAAATCAAATTTGCAAAGCTCCATGCTTATCAAGGGATTTAGTCAGGTAAACATGGAGAATTTAGTTAAGATGCTAAAAAAGCATGTAATTGCTGTAAAATCTGACTTGCTGTGGAAGCTGTTGCTCAGACAGAGCAATCCTTAGCTCCCCCTGTCTGCAGGTACAAGTGTCTCAGAAGGTTATAAAATGTTAGCTGAAGGCCATGAGTTTGAAAACCAGGAGATTTTCTTTTAGAAAAACAAATTAATTAATGTAACAAACTGTAAACATGCCTCTTTTTTTTTCCTGGTGAAAAAATGGACATTTTAAAATTGTAGTCTGTAGAAATTTGCTTGTTCAGTCAGCCTCAAGTGGCCACTGGAGGGACTGCAGTTATTGACTTCTTTTTTTTCAGTTCTGGAGTTCAGCATTTGGTCGAACGTGTTCATGGACATCACACGTCCCATGATCAAACTAGCTGATGCTTTTTTTTAATTTTTGGAAATCAGTGTTACATCAAACTAAAGTGAGCAGAAATACAACACAAATTCCCACCACAAGCGCCCTTCTTGACTACCATCTGACCTGTTCATACGTCATAACCTTTCCGTATTATGCAAAGTCTGACAAAATGTGCGATGATTCAAAAGTGCTGTTTAATTATCAGCTATTTTGTACAGTTGACTGCAACACTCAGTTATTTTCACTCGGTCTATTTAGAAGAAAGTCTAACTCACCCAGTAGCCAGCTGAGTAACACCTTGTGTGTTTGTGTGTGTCATGCACTGCCCCCCAAAAAGCGTTTGACCTCTGAAACATTATGCAAGCTGCCTCCCACTCAGCATGCACACAAACAAGCGTGTGATTCATTCCACATGCATCACATACGTGCTGCTCGTCCTACAAATCAGAGATGAAATTAAGCAGCCAGATTACACGCTCGCGGGTTTGGCCCCAGGTCATGTCCTCGGTTCATATAAATAGCCGCGGGCACAGAGAGACAGTTTTTGCGGTATATGCCCTCTTTAGGAGGATGACACAGCATCAGTGTTGCTCACTTTTATTTATCCTTAACAGAACAGCTTTTCAAGTGAAACATATCACTCAGAATCAAAGATTGCCTTTACTGGATGATTTGTGATGCACTATAGTCCCTTGAAATGTGGAAGCAATGGCACGGATTTCAGTTAGAAAGATATTTGAAATGAAAGTGACGGAAAATAGATATGAGCCAAAGCAATTGAAAAAGACGGAGGAGACAAGAAGGATGCAAGCTGTGACACTGAGTACGGTAATGGAGCATTCGTGCCTCGAGCAGTTAGCATAATTGTAGTTGATGTTTGGTTTTACTCGTTTCATTTCTGTAAATAAATAGTATCTTTCTTGCAAGTGCCAGAATATAATTTTAACCCACTCAGCAGCCAGCCTGCCAATCAAGCTAATTATTTAAGCCCAGTTTAAGCAGTGTGTGACCTGCTGATTGTAATTACGCATCCGCTGGACTCTGCTGACTCCCTCACGTGTGTTTGTAGCTGCTGTATTGTTATCCCAGGGGGTGTACATGGGCCCAACGCTGAGATGGCAGAGAGCGATTTTATTCCCAACGACCCCAAACTGCTCACCCAACAAATCAGCGAGGGGAGACTGACTAGCTAGTAGCTCTACAGGGTATCACACTGGTACTAGATTTGACCTTTGGTCTCCAAGCCCAGAGAGAGATAAAAGAGGAATTCACCCTCTGGGATCGTACAGCATCACTGAAAAAGAAAAAAGAAAAAAAAGAAAGCTGATCTGATTTTAGTTTCACAAACTGTGCATCGGATGCTAGCTTCTGTTTCCTGCTGGGAGGTAAATTGAGCCCACTGTGGTCAGGAATGCTTTTCTTTTATCTTTGTTTGACTTTTAATGTCTTGTTTCACGCCCAGCACAGTCACTCTGGGCTATTGGTTGACACTCCAGTTAGGTTGGTGAGAGACAAGCAAATCAATGTCGTTTGTTCTTATACGGTTCTCTATGTGCTCATGTGAAAAATGAAGTGCACCCCATAATTCAGTAGAGCCACTTTTAGAAGCAATAAACTGAATTTGTTTCTTTGTGAGGTGACTTTATTATCAGTCAGGAATTCTTGCCTGCTCTTCTTTACAGCTTTGCTTGAGTTCATTGAGGTTTGTGGGCATTCATTTGTGCACAGCTCTCTTAAGGTCCTGCCACAGCATTTCAATCAGGATGATATCTGGACTAGACCATTGCAACGTCTTGATTCTTTTCTTTTTGCTGCTTTGCTTTGGACCATTGTTTTGTTGCATGGCCCAGCTTCAGCCAAGCTTTAGCTGTCACACAGATGACCTACCATTTGACTCTAGAATACTTTTTTGTACAGTTGTATAACCCAGGTTGTTAAGTCTTTTTCTAATGGGTCATGAACTTTAACATTTAGCATCCCGAATGACACTGGTAGACTTTCAGATGTAGGCATGGCTAGCTCAGGTGGTAGAGCATTAGACTCTTAATCTCAGGGTTGTAGGTTCAAGCCCCATGTCAGGTGTAGCTGTTTCTTCTGACTTTGTGGTAAGTTCTATTAAGATTGGCCTACTACATACATCTAACAAATATGCTGGAAAAAACTGCTTGAGAGAGTTCACAGTTGCTAATGATCAGTTGACTGCATCTTGTTAGCAGCCGTGATTCATACTAACCCAGTAAGTACGAGCCTGCTGTCTTTCAAATCCCTGTAGCTAACCTTGACTATGAGGAAAAATTGAACATTCTTGATAGTCTGAGAATTTATTTAACAACTTTCATTTTTCCTGTTAATAAATACATGAAATAAATCTTTCATGTATCTGAATAATTTGCGGCTTTTGTGTCCTGAATGTTTTTAGCAAAGTCTTCCATTCAAATGTTTTGAGGTGCCTCATCATAATGGTTTGTAAAAAATGCATTTGTATTCAGAGTGGTCTTTAAAACGAATGCTTAGAGTGGGAATACAAAACTCAAAGACTGCAGCTAGTTCTTGGCTTCTGCAAAGCCTTGTTGTTTTCAGTCTGCGGCAATACATTTTGCTAAGTAGTGGCAAAATGCAAGTATAATGATACAAGGAGCCATTAAGAAAAACAATTTAGTAGCAGTCATGCTAGCAGCTCTGTGAGCCAATCAGCACTTAGGTTAAGGTCAGTGGGCATGATTTACAAGACTGTAGTGAATTTTTTCAAACATGCACAACCCAAAGTGTAACTGGGGCATTTTGAAATTTGTAAGAATTTGGTCAGTTTAGGATTAAGTCTTTGGGCACCCTCGCATCAGATTTTAAGGTGGTTCATCAACTATTTAAAGCTAAAATGATTGAATCTCATTGCTATTTACATAATCACATGTTCTCTCCAGTATTGTCTTTTTTTAATCTTTTTTTCATCCTTGTTTGTTTGAAATATTGTCATTGTAATTTGTTATTGACAAGTTCAACTTTTTATTGAATCAGTTATCTCTTTAGAATCGGGGCTAATCCCTTATTCCTCTTTGTTAGATTCATTTTTTAAGGATGCAAGAAGCAATAAACCTCAGGCTACAACAACAACTACACCTGCATCACAAAAGCACATACTTATACAAATACTGATTTTCACACATAATTTTGGTGTAATCGCCCTGTACAGATGATAGCTATGGGACATAAAACACAATCTAAATTAAACCTTATATTCATAGTGGGTTCATTGATATGCAAACTGATAATCTACTCTTAAAATCTAATTCCCAGCCATTAAATTATACATCTAAATAACTCCTCCTAAGCCTAATCATAATTTTTACAATAAACCAGAGAAATGCTGTAATCAAACTATCACATTTATCTGATTTTTCACAGAATCTTGGAGCTGCATGTAATTTTCATTCTCCCTTTGATGTACTCTAATTAATTAACATTTAGTCAGCCTCTCCATGCTGCATCTTAAGCCCTCAAAGTCTGCTAACCCTGATGCCATTCACTCAGCCAGACTCCTAGAATCGATTGAAAAAAATGAATTACTGCTTTTAAAGTCAAGAGCAGCAACCGCTGCCCATGAAAAAACAACAGGCAGCTTATTATTATTTACATCACCTGGCAGCACGGTAATCTTTCATGTTCTCTCTCAATTCTTCCAGACTACGCCTGGCCCCTCCCCAGCGCTCTGTGTCCGATCTGGATCTACCTGGACGTGCTGTTCTCCACTGCCTCCATCATGCACCTCTGCGCCATCTCCCTCGACCGATACGTCGCCATCCGCAACCCTATAGAGCATAGCCGCTTCAACTCTAGAACCAAAGCCATGATGAAGATCGCTGCAGTGTGGACCATATCTATAGGTCAGCATTTGCATGTTAATACATAAATGTAGATTTGGCTCCTTTTCCACAGGCTCTGTTAGATTCCTAATTAAAAATATTTCAGTTAGTTAGAAGTGTAAGTGATGGCGTAATTATACATAATTGTGCTGTTTATATTCATGGTGTCAAGAGGTGGAGGCCACTTGACAGCATGAATATCACAAATACTCCAATTTCAGCCAACAAAACTGCTGCACAGGCTTTAGGATGGACTGTTAGTTAAATTACCCGTGCAGAAAACCATATTATTTGCCAAATTATCACATTAAGACTGCTCCAAAAGGCACCAACATCACAGAAGTGGTCAGGTTTAATGAGTAGCTGGCTAACAGACAGCTGGTTAGCAGACAGATACTGGTTTAGCAAATTAGTGTAAAAGATACACGTAACTACCATGACATCATCCATTATTCTCTATCATATCGAGACTATCTCTCCACTCCGCTACATACTCCATATGTACAGAGTGGAGAGATAGTCTCTCACTCAGAGAACCAAGGTTACAATGTAACCGTACAGTTTGTGAAGCCATGTTTTGAAGCCTCGACACGGTTGTTTTCACCGTCACCATCTTGGTTTTAAAAAAAATGGAAGTGATGAGGACAAGAGTGAAACGGCCTGCTCACTGGTTAATGTCATGTAAACCACAAGTCATTGTTTAGTGAGCGCACCACTTCCTTTTTGAAACATAGTCTCCAACTCAGATTAACAAAATACACTTATATTTTTTACTTCCTATGACCAAAGATTTGTGGCTCAGCACATAAACTCAGCAGCAAACTGTTTACAGAGGCTAGGACAGCAAGTGGTTTTGCCAAAGACTTGTGAAGGACTGGACATCTATGTACCAAGTCTTCCACCATACAGCCTTTTTTTCAGGCTAAACTATATAAACAGGACAGAGCAAATCTTTTAGTTGAATGAACTGTTATGTAAATGTGCCGCCATAAGGGACGGCCAGAGTTTTATGACTTTACGACTTTGTTAACAACTCGTGACAAAGCGCTTACAGACCAACATCTTTGACTCATCCCACCATGTTGATTGGTGTTGTTAATCAAGAAAAACATGAAGTATATGAGGCTGTTACTGTAGCAAAACAATTTGTCTGTGTGAGCATGTGCAATCAGATTTGTAAATGTGTTAAGAAATCTGTAAGTGTGCACAGTGATAATGGTTGAAAAGTCTAAAAATCTTTGTTGACGCACTAAGAACACAGACAAGTCATCAGTTAGAGCTCCTGGTTTAGATTCCATGATCTAAACCAGGGGTCCCCAATCCCAGTCCACGAGGGCCGGTGTCCCTGCAGGTTTTACATGTGTCCTTGATCCATCACAGCTGATTTAAATGGAGAAATTGCCTCCTCAACATGTCTTGAAGTTCTCCAGAGGCCTGGTAATGAACTAATCATGTGATTCAGGTGTGTTGACCCAGGGTGAGATCTAAAACCTGCAGGGACACCGGCCCTCGTGGACTGGGATTGGGGACCCCTGATCTAAACCTTTCTGGATATTATCTGTGAGTTAATTAGTCTCTGAACACGTTCTGCTTTTGCGCTGGGGTTGTTTCTCTTTTTTTCTTTAATTCAGTGAACTGGCCTTTCATCTTCACACATCTATAAATGAGCACAATGAAGAAAATACATTCTACCTTTGTGTCGTTTTGTGGTCAACTGCAAGACTGGATTTTTATATTGCACCACTGTTAATTTAGCCGACCCCTACAGGTACACATGGAGAGTTTCGAGACTGATGACTGTTGTTAAATTTAATGACTTTTCAGAATCCCCCTCGCAGTGTCTCCAAAGGTCCTATCAGTGCCCCTCCTGACTTTATGAAGCAGTGGGAACCCTCTCAGTTTGTTGACGCTCAAAGCGTCTGGCTGTGTGTTGTTACAGTTGGAAGTGATTTGCATCACAGACTTTTTACTCCCCAAAGGTGATCGCAGCACTTTTCTTATTTGATTTTGTTAGAAGCTAGGACGAAAATATGCGAATAAATTAATTTTGTCATCTTGAAATGTAATTGTTAAAGGTAGCCAGAAGATATGCCGTAGAGTTATTGACACTTCATATATATATATACACACTGCAAGTCAACATTCATATGTGGATTCCTAAAAGATGACTTTAAATGTTTTACCACAAGGATTTTAGAGGGAATTGTGGCTTTGCTGGAGTAAAAGCAGTCATCTCATATAGTCTTATGATTTTTATTTTATTTTTCGTTGTTATTTTAAAGGGACAGTACACCCCCAAAAAACAATTCGACATATTTTTTCCTCTTGCTTTTATAATGTTCATAAATAGGTGTAGATATGATTCTCTTGCCAAATTTTGAATCAGGAAAAATTCATCTCAGCAACAATTTCTCTTTAAGAAATCACAACCCGGTTTCATTTAAAAGCTGCTTCCTCTCTGCTGAACTGCACCTGCAGCTGGGTAACATTACAGCTCAGCCAAGGGTGTTTAAATCTTCTCATGCTGTCGCAAGCAAGAGCTTCCCACCACACATACTTCTCAACCCACTGTCTCCCTACTGGGAGTCAAATACTGACATTTTGTAAAAATCACTGGCATCTCGAAATGATGCACAAAACATCCTTTGCCATCTGCGTCATGACGAAACAGGTTTAGGCAATATAAAAGACATGCCTCGCTCCCAACTCTCAATTTTAAACGCACTGGCTAAGGCCTGATTGAGATTCTGCAGTTACATTGTAGGTTAAGGAGTAGATTCGCAGCTGAAGCATAATTCAGGCATATGGCGTCAGTCGCACAGGTGTAGAAACCAGTCAGTGAGTCCCCTATCAGTGAGGAAAATATGTCTCAAGCTAGATTGCTTTGGTTACTGTCAGCTTGCTGCGGTTGCCCGTGGTTTGGATATAAATGTAAATTGTTTGCCTTCAAAGTAAAGAAGAGCTGCTTGCAAAAGCAGCTTAGGGTGGGGGGAAAGGAGGGTTACTTTCCAGTCTTCCGTGACTGAAACTTTAGCAACTGCTTTCCAACAGGAACCGCTCACTATCAGTCTCACTTTTCTTTAGAGATCGTTCTTTGCCAGGAGGTTGCAGACTAGTCTCTGGTACCTGCGCTCTCAGCAGTGGTATAAATGGCACAGAGCTGTCGGGATGTCACCGTCTTACATGCAAAGCAACCAGTGTGGCAGATTAGGACAGATCAGGGATCGAAACAGCGACCTTCCGGTTACAGATACGCTTCCCAAACCCCCTGAGCCACAGGGGGCGTGTGTTGCACAGAGGAAAGTATGACCTCCCTGTGAGGAAAGTGATGAGGGATCAAATGACTTTTAAAACTTTTCCCTCAACCCTCTCTCACTCTGTCTGACCTCCGGCTCCTGTTGATGTTGTTCTGAGCCCTTTAACACCCACGAGGGCTTCAAGTCTTGACACACACATACAAGGGTGAAAGTGCGTACTGCTACTGTATGTCCTCGACCCCCAAAGCAGCTATGCAAAGTCACTGCATGCGTGCATAAACTCCACCTGGGCATCGATTGTTGCTGCATTTAAAGTAACGGTGTCACAGAACAAAATCCACAGGCTATCAGGTTTCCCGTGTGGGGATTTAATACGTGTTTCACTAAGAAACAAGTGAATCAAAAAGCGTCTAATGAAGGGCAAAGGTTTGTTATCTTTTGGTTGGATGCAATTAAATGTTCGGTCGTGTCCTAATGATGAAACATTTTATTAAAGGTTAAAGCTGTTGAGACTATCAACAGCTAGCCTCGTGTTGACAAATAAGTTGGTTTGTGAGTGCTTAAGGCCAAAAAGGGTGCCAAGCTATGTGCTCCCAGTGGCTCGGTCAAAAAGTCCCAAAAGGTAAAATACAAGCTGTATCGATTCCAGGACTCAACTTAGCTATCTGCAGTTTTTTCATCTTATCACACACTGATACAAAAAAAACATGTATTTCTTTGCCCGAGTTGAAGAAAAGAGATCAAACATCATTAAAGTTTTATATAGTGCTTCTTTTCACTTTCTTTATTCTTTTATGCCCTTTTATGTGGAAAACAATCTACTCCTAACCAAAGATGATTGAGTGATCCATCTTAAAAGGGAAAATAGTATTTATGAGTCTTTTAATAGTTTCCTACATAATACATTTTTCCATCAGGTAAAAAGTTGTTTTGCTGACAGGGATTACTTCCTGTGAGCTACATTGACAGACTGAGTTGATTGATGCCTCCAGATAGCAGGTAGGTTTTTACTTTTCTGTCCTTTCTTGCTCTGCACTCATTCGCATCCGGCTTTAAATCAGAAGAAATTGCTCTTTTCCTGCTGGCATTTCCTTGACCCCTCAAGAGGTTCTGCACCACAATGTTCAGCTGTGATTGAGGTCTGAGAGGGCTTAGAGAGATCAATGCTAAAGGATTAACAAAGAAACACCCAAACAGAAGATGTTTTCTGCTTCTTGTTGACTTTTTACTTTCTAGCATTCGTGTATCTTCCGGCTTTTTTCCAACTGTCCATTAGAGCTAATGTGTGTCCTCTCAAGTGTCTGTGTGAACACAACCGTTTTCTCATTGGTGACAAATTAAAAATGCAGAGCAGGAGGTTTGTATGAATGACCTCAGTCTGTTTTGGTCCGAACTGACAGCTGTTACATATTTAGATGCACTTGTACTGCTCAAAGGTTTGAGGCTAATTTCTATAAACTGATGTCATCTGGAGCATAAGGACAACGTTTTGGGTACTGGGAGCTCTATGTTCTCTTTTTGTAGTCTAAAATGTGCTGACCCATCATGTTAAAGCAGCTAGTTGCAGTCTGAGTGATGACCAAAAGATGGAATACATTTACTGAAATGCAGTCATATTCTGGTGACGGCTTAGTGACCACTAAATGGGACTCTGAGTCTTGGCCCAAATATTTGATGGCTACATTGAAACACTGACCCCAGAGATCATCAGACTGAATTCAGTGAGTTTTGTGAGATTTGTTCATCTTTCTGGCATTTAGTTGT